ACCATACATCAATAATGATTGTCAGACTTCAGCAGGGACAATGCTCCTCATGAATGGATCCAGAAGGCAGACTGATGGGAACTTCAGAGGCTCGGCCAGTAGCCAGGAAGTTACATCTCAGAGCAATGGGGAGACACACCTGAAGTTTTTGCACATTTGGATCAATCTGGACAGCATCAGACACTACAGATGGAACTAAGCATTTTTTTTGGGGGGGGGCAGTAATTTGGACACACACCCCCCCCCCCCCCCCCCCCCCCCCCCCCCCACTGGACAACTTGAGCTTTGGAGACTTCGCTGATGAGGATTCGGACCCACGGAGGAACTGGATTGGTGAACATTATTCAACTGGATCGCAAAACAAACCAAACTGAAAACTCGCGTAATTTCTCGCAATTTCACTACTCGGACATGAGAACTGTACTGTTTTAATTAAGTCTCTTTGCTTCTGAACTGTTGCAGACATTGATGTCTTTGTTCATCTTGCAAGAAGAAAGGGATGCAGTTCTGAAACTGTAAACAAATCTGAGCACATGATCGCTGTAAACACACGGGACCCTTGGCGAAACAACTGTGCGTGCTATTAGTGTTTTTGACTGAAGATCGATGGAACTGTTCATCATCAGAACTCTAATGAATGGTGGTGGGAAAATTTAAACAGCTGAGTTGTTTTATTTTTATTTTTGTCTAGATTTTCAAATATGTGTTTGTGATCATGCCGCATATCAATGTTGGTGGTTTCTCCACAGGTTGTGGCTCAAATTTAGCATATGGGCTGCAAGACTATGGACTATGGGATCATCTATATCCCTATGTCCTCCAGACGGCATAGATGATGGGATCAGATTCCCAACACAGGACCAGCAGGACTATGGGATCTTCTATATCCCTATGTCCATCCGGGGCGGATCTTGGGTGGTAGTTGAATGGGGTTATCCAATATCACCTCCCTGTGGAGCAAATACGTATTTAAGCAACATTCAATATTACTCCTGGGAGGAGAACAGCTAAAGTTGTAATGATCATCACAAACATTTTAGAGTGGTTATCAATAAAACAAAATAGGAATAGGTTAAGGAATTTGCTCCCAGCTCCATCGCTTCAAGGCTCTACATATTTAATTTAATACAAGTAGCACACCGCCTTTAGGGCATAAACACATACTTCCCATAGGGACTGTTTAAAACAAAAAATTCTAGCAAACCTCAAATTTATAATTCAGTGGAATCACGCTTATATCCATCTAATAACTTAAGACTATGGGATCACCTATATCCCTATGTCGTTTTAGGGCTAAGGTGGAGTTCACTGGGTCTCTAACTGAGAAGTGCGGCAAAAATCCAGATGCGAAATGGACTGGGCGGCCATCATGGGTACGGGCCCTTGTCTGGTGACACTAGGATTCTTGTCTGGAGCAAAACATTGAAAAGAAGGGATTAGATTCCCAACACAGGACCAGCAGGACTATGGGATCATCTATATCCCTATGTCCTCCAGACGGCATAGATGACGGGATCAGATTCCCAACACAGGACCAGCAGGACTATGGGATCTTCTATATCCCTACGTCCATCCGGGTTCACTGAGAAACATTGGAATCACCTCTATAAGTTGCCCCTGGATTAACTTTTGACAATATTCAAGACAAACTTGGAAATCGTAAATACGGCATTGCTGGAACAAGGGAACTAAAAACATTTCATAAGAGAAAAGTGTGACGAACAGATGTTTACGGAAGGAGGCAAATCTTCATCATCATCCAGTGGAGGGACTCATCACTGAGATAAAGGACAAAGAACTTCTCATCAGCGTGTGTGATTTGGACTAAGGTTCACTAACGGAAGCAACTGTGCAGAAACTTTTGGAGAACGGACTTTATATACAAACTGTTATTATGAGCGTTGCATTTCTCCACTGAGGACTCGGTGCAAACTGCTGCGTCACTCCACCATAATCTTGGAAGCACAGTTGAAGAACTTGCCTATGCCATTTTGGGGACCTTGACACTTGGAGGATGAGCTTTTTTAGAAAGACAGTGACTTTCTGATATTAGACAAGTGAAATTCTGATGACCTTCTGATGTTGGATCAGCGGCATTCACCATCTTCACTACCATTGGAGGCATGTCCCATTCTGGAAACTCTTGAGGTATTTATTCTTTTTTTGGGTGGTGTGCTGTAATCACCTGTATAGAATTTTGGGTTTATTCTGTGACAATTTCAAGGATTACTAAAGACCCCAAGTCCACTTGATGCCAATCTTTCTACTATGGCAGTCCCAAATATTTGAATATTTGATCATCAACTCAATAATCGAATATAGCCCTTAATGCTTAAACACTTCCCATACTGTGATGTTTTTTTTAATTGTAAAGTTGCATCACTTTATTGTTGTCAGATGCCAATTTCTTGTCAACGGTGGTTCGTTGTTCTTTAAGAAGGTTATTTGCCCTCAGTGGTTAAAACATTCAGAGAAACACTGTATAGGTATGTAAAGGGAGAGACTTGATGCTTTTTGCTGAGCAATTAAAAGGGTTTCCCTTCTTTCATTAACTTGACATATTTTTGATCTGTTTATGTAGGTCAGCAGATACCCTTCAGACGTTATCTGGCTGTGAGCATGACCAAGACGCTTGGATTGCAGAAGTCTGCTGAAGTTGGGATGGGCAGACCGGGACCAGACATCTTGGGTAGAGGCCGGGGGACAAGATTGCATGTTCATAAGGTGAGGTAACCATTGTATGCAGGCTTGAACATGCACAAGACCCCCGGATGTTGCCGCCGTACAGTTTGCAAGTGGAGTCGCTTGGATTGTGTGGTACATTAGAACGAGGGGGACAAGGTTGCATGTAAACCCAGGTGAGGTAACCATTTCTCTGCAGCTCTTCTAGGCCACATGCCTCAAGACTTGTCCCCCTGGATTCTGGATGTTGTTCTGTGGATTCTGGATGTTGTTCTGTGGATTGTGCAGAGTGGTATCCTGTTTTGACTGATCTAACCAGGATAGGTCTATTCATCCTGCTGTGGATGGAGTGAAGATGGCATCAGTGCGTTGTCAAAGGTGAGCATCAAACCAGCTTCAAGAGACAATTAAATCAGCAGTAGTTTTTAGTCATCTTTAAGCTTCCCTTTGTGTCCAAAAAGTTGACCTTAACCCTAACTCCCTAGGGTGTGCAATTATTAATTGGAAGATTCAGGACTGTAAGGGGTAGCTACTGCTTTATGTTAAAACAGTTTCTAGTCTTCTAAAAAGAAAGAGATCCAAAAAGTTGAAATAATTCTTCTAAACCAGGTTTATGCTTTCTGTCTGGAAATTGCTTCAGATCCGCCACTGATGATTTTTTTGGCCCTTTTTTTCCTTTCCAGATGTACAGTCATAGCCAGAAAGCAGACTGATGAGAAACACACCAGATACAAGATATCTGCTGCAGTAACTGTGAGCAAGGACTATTAGCGTTGGAAGGTAACTGACTTTCAATTTGTGCTTTTCAGAGCAATTCACTTGCAACTGTTCTTCATGTTCATGGACACTGTCTTTTGGACTTTTATTGCCCCCCCCCCCCCCCCATTGCATGGCCCTCTTCTAGCCCAAATCGTATATGGAATTTCTTAAGTACGTTTTGCCCTCGAGATCTATGGAAGGATGTTGTAGTACATTAAGGTGTCGGCTTATTATCTGAATAAAAGCCTGCAACTGGACACAGAGAATTAGTAAAGTATCCTAGCTTGCATCAGTTTCAGCCAAAATTTAAACAAAAATACCAGACAGGGATTGTAACATTTCTTAATTTGTCCAATTTTCCAGGTTGTAGACTACTGGCACAATTCAACACCACATCACTGGAGTGGGAGCAAACATCATGGCTCATTCAAATCAGCCTTCCTGCGACAACGCTCAACCTCATCAGCCACAGATCAGCAAGGCACAGATCATCAAAGACTGTGATCCTCTCATATCACCCACCTTGGCTCGTAGAGGTCAGTATAAGTGATTTGGAGACAGACCTTTCTTAATTGCTACATCATATCACTTTCTTGCCATGTTTAGCTACAACTTTCAACCAAATGAAAATGACATGATTGTGACATATCCAAATTTGTCACCTTTCCAGGTTGTAGACTACTGGCACCATTCAACGCCACATCACTGGACTGGGAGCAAACATCATGGCTCAGCTACACCTTCCTGCGACAACGCTCAGCCTCATCAGTCAGGACTAACGGGTCAGTATAAGTGAATTGAGAGACAGACATTTCTTAATTGCTACATCATATTGCTTTTGGCCAACCAGTGCATAGTTTGCCATCCTTTCTGTGAAATGCTGCACAAGTGCCAATTTAATTATGTGAGCTACAAGCCATTTCAAATGAAAAACATGTTTGGCTGCAACTTAGCACAGGAGTGCACATGATCCCCTACAAATGTATTTCTGATTGATAAAATCTTGGCCAAACATAAATCATTTCTTTCATAATTTTATGGTTATAAAAGTTTTCAAGGAAATTATTATTTTCATCAAAAAATGATGAATTACATACAACTTATTTTGAAAAGAATTAATTTCCATGCCAAAATGCCCTTCTGCCCCCCCAGTTTAAAATGCTTTAGATTAAGGGGCATGTAAAAAATTCTTTGTAGTCCTTAAATTCTGGATTTTTTAATGGCTGTTTATCAACTGTATGAGCTAATGATCTACTATATGAGCCTTGTCCTTAAACATTCTGACAAACCACTGATTTTGTTTCTATCTTGTATGTTTTTTTTGCAGGTGGACCTGCATACTGCAATTTTGATCATCAGCATCAGCCATGCAGACTTCAGCAGAGACAATTAATGCTCCTCTCAGGTGGATCTGGAAGGCAGACTGATGGGGGCTTCAGAGGCTCAGCTAGTAGTCAGGAATTTACATCTCAGACCACTGGGGAGACGCACCTGAAGTTGTGCGCGTTTGGATAAATCTGGACAGCATCACACTATAGATGGAAACGAGCGTTTGAGGGGGGAGGGCGTTAATTGGCCAGACGGCACCCCTCCTTCATCTCGACCACTGCAGCTTGAAGATTTAACTTTTTAGGTTTTGGAGCCACGAAGGAACTGGATTGGTGCACATTATTCACGTGGATCGCGAAACAAACAAAACTTAAAAACCCGCGTAATTTCTCGCATTGTGACCTCGACAGTTAATTAGAACTGCTTCAAGTTTGAAATACTTCTAAACTACTGCTGATTTGGATGTATGTGTTCGTCTTGCAAGAAGAAAGGGATTTAGTTCCCAAACTGTGTCGACGACACGTGATCACTGGACCCTATGGAGAAACCATTGTGCGTGCTTTTAACATTTATGAATGGATGACTGATGGAACTGTTCATCATCGGAATTTTTATGAGTGGTGGTGGGAAATATTGAGACAGCTGAATTTTCAAATATTTGATAGTTTAATTGTTATTTGTTACCTGAAAGTTATTTTTCAAAGTCTGAATTGATATGCGACTGTTGTACATTCACGGGATCCTCTTCTCTGGAGAAATTATTGTGCATGTTTTCAACCTTTTTGATATGAACTGAGACTGACAGAACTTTCATCATCAGAACTTTCATGAGTGGTGGTGGGAAATATTGAAACAGCTGAGTTTTTAAATGTTTGATATAAGAATTATTTTTAAGTTTTGATTTATTTGGTCAAAATTTTGATGCTGAATAATTGCTATTAAGGCGTCCCTCTTTTTATTCAATGGTTCTCATTTCTGATGATGTGAATCAGTAGCGTATCCAGCTTTTGATGTTGGGGGGGGGGGACAATTGCACATCTGCGCCGAAATGTAGACTTTTTTCTCTAAACACTTGTCCTCCGTAAAATTAAAAAGTGGGGGGGGGGGGGGGGGCTGTACCCATCTCTCAAATGGAGTTATATGCCCATTTTCACGTCACATTGTAATGGTTTTTGAGCGGGTTATCTTTTTTGGAATGGGTGTCGGAACTCTCTAACCATTTATTGAAATAGCTGCTGAAAATATTTGTTAAATAATCTGCCGGGGTGGGGGGGGGGGGGGCAAGGTGCCCCCTCAGCCTCCCCCCTGAACACGCCACTGATGTGAATTCACCATAAACTAATATAACAATTGCATACAAATATAAGACGAGCCATTCTTTGCATCAATGAATTAATAGGTCGAATTGTATTTTTCTTCAGATTTTAATTTTTTGCAAAGTGAAACTGCCTACTTCAGAGGCAAAAAAGAAGAACAATGAGAACCATAGAAACAAAAAGGGATGCCCTCATATTTTCTGAATGTTATATGTTGCAATTACTTATTATGCAAAGAAAAATAATCACTTTCGACATTCGCATTGCATCTTTGGGTATGGATGACGAACCAAGCAATTTGTACAAAAGTACGAACCACCTTATAGCTGATCTTTAAGAGAAGGAATCATGCCAGAACTGTCCAATGACATCCAGGCCACTCTTGGTTTGCACTGATTAATTCTGATTTACATTGTCCGTCAAACAATTATATGTTTTAGACTTAAGTACCAGTGAAATCTAGGGCCAACTTTCTTGGGGTCTGCATTAAAATACTTTCAACAGTAATAACGTAAAGTTCAAGTGAAATTTTAAATAAACCTCAAACATTATGCATGATGCTTAAACTTGAAAGATATAAATGCCTAGACGCAAGTCTTCAAATCGAGTCATTAATACTACAAAACATAAGTAGCACAGTAAACCTAACCCAGACCTAATTCAAGTAAAAATTAAACAAAAGTTTAAATGGTATTCATTATATTTAGACCTCAGGAATCAGATTCCTCTGACTGTCTTCAAATTAATTAAAAATATAAAAGAAAACAGGTACAACAGTAAACTTAACCTTAAACGTAAAAGTGAAATATAACATCAAAGGAAAAAATCTTAGGTAAAGAACTCAAGAAATAGATGTCTATAAAACTATGTCACGGTAACTCTTTAACCCCAGTCAAAGCTAATTAAAGTACGATTCAACTTGAAATATTAGGCAACTCCCTTGGCAGGATAAATCCAGTTTTGAACGCAAATGCAATATGGCACGAAAGTACATGCCAAAGTCTTTTTGTATCAACTGCAGAAAAGTTAAAGACCCTTGCAGTATTTTGAGGTCATTCCCCTGCACAGCAACCCTTAACTATCTTAACCACTAACCAGCAAAGATCTATCAAAATGCTGCAAGGACTGGAAAAATTACATGCTTTTTGGTAATTTGTATGATATATTTTTTATAGTGTAATATTTACCCAATAATGGAAAAATTCAAAGCAAATTCAAAGCAAAGAAGACAAAAAGGAGAAAAAATAAGGTTATTCCCCTGCATGGCAACCATTAACTCTCTTAACCACTAACAGCAAAGACCTATCAAAAAGCTGCAAGGCGCTTGAAAAATTACATGGGAACTTGTGCGATATTTTGCCTGTTTTTCAAAGCTGGATTGCCACAAAAACATTTTTTGACAGCGTAATATTTTCAAAATAATGGAAAGCAAAATATTAAAGTCAAATGTGCCAAAAGGAGAAAAAATCAAAAAAATTTAAAATGTACTTTTGGAGCTTAGGTTACAAAAACTAATGTAAATATTTAATAAAAAAGAACCATTAGTATTTTTCATCAAATGTTCTACTGAAAGGAAAAGTGATTTTAAAATCTTTACGTTTCATAGGAATTGTAAAATTGAAATCAATTTAAAACGTGGATGCAAATGATTAGTCTGATAAAAAGATAAGCCAGATACAAGGGCCCCTAAATCTTAAAGTTACATTAATAAATGCCACGTTAAGGGAAATATTGCTTTAAAAATATACAGAATAGGAAAAAAGAATAGGAAGACAAATTTATTTTAAGCAATAATTGTTTGATCGTAAACATGGACAAAAGTCTGAAATAGATTCCAAGTTGGCCCTGGACATTGCAGAGCAGTTAATATAAAGATGTCAAGATTATTTCTTTATTTCTAAAATAAAAAAAATGATCTTTATAAATTAACTTTTTTTATATTCTATGCATTTGTGAGGTGACAGTTAAATGGGAACAAATACATAAATAACATTGATTATTTGTCATCCATAGCCAGAATGCAATGTGAATTAATGTCAATTAGGTTTAATACTGGGATTTATGTATCTCAAGTTGTAATGGTATTGAAATATAAAAGAACATAGAAATTTTTTGACTGAGATTGTAAAGAGGAAATTGAACATGTATTTCGCATTTGAGACCTCAAATTAAGATTTCGCCAAATGTGTGGCTATTACTCGAAATTTGCCGATAAAGGTTTACACATGCCAGCTCTATAATTAGAATTCCTAATTAAGTAAAAACCTAAGGGGCAATTCTGTGAATTCAGACGTGCATGTCAGACATTCTAGCTGCTGTCTAAGCTAATGAGTAGAAAACAATAACAGAAAAGGTACCACCACCTTAACAACTTTGTACATCACTACATGTGCATCATGTGGTCAGAGTACAATGTATGTTGGATTTACGGAGTTGTCCTAAGGTTGACTCTATGAAAGTTGGAAGTAAAACCGCTGATTTCTTGAGAAATATAATTTTGCCCAATTTGAAGCCCTGGTCATTTTCAAATTTGAGAATTTAACTTTTTGTGAAAGCATTTGGGTAAACACTTACGAATTTGGAAGTTTAGAAAAAAAATACCTGCCTAGTTTTAATAGAATGCAAGGATAATCCCTTCCAATTGGATTTTTTGAGGAAAATGATTTGCATCTACATTTAAAGGGAATGTACATCATTGGCTTTTGCTGTCATGTTCAGAAATGAACTACTTGAGGGGTTAGTGGATCTATTATACTAACATGTTTGAAGTTTTGTGTAAAAAAATGCTGGAAAAACCAAGAAAAACAAAAAAGTTCAAGTTGTCTGGTTCCTTGACTCCACTAAAGAAAAAATGGATCAATTTATAGATGCCGGAAAATTGTTGTATATTCCCTTAAATCTGATGACAATCAACTCTTACAATTTAGAATATGAGAAAATACATGTATGATATTTTGTTCAAGTTGAAAAAAATTACCATACTCGATAAATCCTTTGGACTTAAATTTACAATCAATGCTTTACTCAAAATTCCATAAATGGCAAATAGTTTACCCAATATCCATTGTTTACCTCAGCCTCTCAATGAGCCAAACATGCTATATATTTTTTTCATGTTTTAATCCAAAACTGAGGCCATTACTTGAGCTTCAATTTGACAGTGGGCAAGGCTTGTAAGAAATTTGGTATTCCTGGTCACTCCCCTTGTGGTCAGAGTGATTTTATGGCATGAACTAGTACATTGATTGGTTTGACCTATTTGTACCTCACTTGGCTGGAGCAGCTTTGCTAGTTTAGGTTTTTCAAAAAAATTCAATTAAAAAAAAAAACAGGCACGATGAGAAGAATCTAATTTTACCCAATTTTGATAAAACGCTAAGGTAAACACTCAAATTGTCGTTTAAATTTTTTGGATAATAAGTCCATTTTGTGGAAGTTCAACAAAAAAGTTAGGAAATATCATTTAAATGTTTGGTCAAAAAAATAGTCTTCCAAAGCTTGTACTTTTTGAGAAAATGTTATGAAATGTTTAATGTAAACTTTCCCCCCGAAACTAAGTTGCTCGAATATTGAAGATTAACCCTCATTTACAATTGTTGAAAAAATCCCCCCCAGATTTTTATAGAAAACACAAGGTTGAAAAATGACTGAGACGATTTATGGGAAAAACCCTTATTTTGACTAATTTGAATAAACATGTATGTTGTCGGGTCGGTGCAAAAAGGTCGCAACTCCATTTTGCAACAAAGTCGTATCTCACGTGAATACGCTCCGTGCAACAAGTTCGTATCTCGACTTCCATTGACTTTGCGTGTACATCCGGGGTCTTTTAAGCGAGATACAACCTTTTGACATTCTAAAACTCGCGTTTTGCGTCATTCATGCCATTTTAGGAGATGCGACCTTGTTGCACTGACACAACGATGTATTTTGATTTAATTTTCACAAATTTTAATAAATGACAGAATACCCCCTTTCATTTGTACCGAAATATATATTATAAATGTAAGGGCTTAAAGGGAATATGCAGCATTTGCAAACATCACAAAAGAAAACCACCTAATTATTTTGAAATACTGTGGACTGTTTGTTCTAAGGTGGGTCAGTGAACCAGACTTTAGGAACATTTGTTGATTTTTCCAGCATTAAAACTCGGTGTGAAAATATTTGCTATAAAATACGGAACCCCCCCCCCCCCCCCCCCCCCCCGCCCCAAATTTGCATTTCTGAAAATTGCAGCAAAAGCAAATGTTGTATATTCCCTTTAATAATCCTATGGGTTTTAAGAAAAATGAAATTCTACCTTAAAAGCTATGTTCAATTAAGTTAATACCATTTTGACCTAATTTAATTCCTTGTGAATTGTGTTCTATTCTAAAAGTATATGTAGAAATAAATTTTCATTGACATTTTGAGAAAAGCCTGGTGTTTGCCTGATTTATATACAAATGTAAGGTTCGTTAAAATATTTCAGGAAAAACTTGGTTGTTGGTACTATTTTTTTGTCTCATGAAAATAATATGGCAATTTGAAATTTTTGAGAGAAATCTAATACGGACAATTCCAAATACTGCGCGTCACCAAGAGGTTGCAACAGAGAATAGATTTTTGCAGTGTATTGTGAGAGATGGTCAATAAATTCGCAGCACGGGATACTTAATAATTGTTAGGTTTTCCAGTTGGTAGTTTCGTAAGCGTACGATTCAAGGATCTGTAGCCTTTTTCTTCTCTTTTGGTATAAAGGCGGTAGACCATGTCTGTGTCCAATTACCTTCAGTTGCCTACAGACATT